GTTAAAAACTATACACCATATTTTAAAAATAGAACGACTAGATGCCATGCTAGTGGAGATCAAGTTATCATCTCCAGACTACGATTAGGAGACATTAAGATCACACATGATTTCATACCACAGAAACAACCCAAACCTTTGTGTTTGGCATGTGATAGTAATCTAACAGTACATCACTTATTAGGGGAGTTCCGCTGTACGCATTTGAATGACAACATGAACAGTTACCTACAACAATAAAAGACACTCTAAGTGAACATAGTGACCACAATCGTACCATACTTAGACCAGCACGCGACCCTCTGAGCATCGAGGCCATAGCGCGGCAAGCATGGGCTCGGTTGCCAGACCAGTCGGGTGCTCAGCTGGCGAGGAGAACAAATTAATTTTTAAAATCCACAAGGAAAAAATTCCTGTAGCTGGCTGTATACCACGTATCACAAAAAGAGGTTAGGCTTTGTAAATGGGTATATTTATTTAAAAAACCCAGTTCCCAGCTGTTCTCCGCGTGTAGAGGTTCTCTCTCACCGGTTCTGGTAACTCGATTCAGCCATGTGTTACCTCTAGTCAAATTTAATTTAATACTGAACATCACAGTTATTTTATAACACAATGTACAATCTTTTATAACTAAATGTAATTTAAAGGGTTTTTACCCTAGTATTTTGGTGGCTCAGGCATTGTGACCTAGCATTTTCGATTTTAAAACCTGATGATGGACTGTGTGGTCCGAAAACGTTTGTTTTATTGATGTAGCCCTTTTAAGGGTTTTTTAAATAAAATATACCCATTTACAAAGCCTAACCGCTTTTTTTTTAAATTAATTTTTGCCAAATCGGCAGCTGAGTGACCGAACGCACACATTTCCCTGTACGGAGGGCCACCAACTTAGGTTGGTACCTCTCCGCGCAGGGGCACACATTTTTTAGGGACATCAGGTCCAAAGTAATGCTCGTGCCAAATTAAATTCAGTAAAGTAACTAGGGAGAAAAGCTCATAGCTACCCCTTAATTTCAGGTGGCCTAACCACAACCATGTCGATACGGAGGGTTTTGTTCATTACCCAAATAGCCCGACGTAAAGTTCATAAGCCTTCGCTGCGTATGTCAGACGTAGTGAAGGGGTGGAGGAAAAGCCTGGGGGTCAGATAGGTACCGATCCAGAATGATTAGCTCTTCTGGAGCGAGACCGGTTTGATCTTCGGACATGTGGATACCACTGATTAGCAGTGGTATACACATGTCACTAGGGGTTGGGTTGAACGCTTCGCGTGTGTATGTGTGTGTCGTGCCATACTTTTTGGTTTCTTAAGGACTAATCAATAAAATCTAATTGTATTTTTTGTTTTTTTTTTATATTTATGTTATCTGTAAAGTCGACCATTCCTAATAACTTTTTTATTTTTTTTATTATAACTAATAAATTAACAATCGTAATAAAACGTGTATGTATGTATTCTACAAAATAATGTAATGAGTTTCTGTCCTGTCTCTTGGTTCTGGCATGATGTGGTCCCCTCCAGTGAGAGAATCACGGGTCCATATTACTGGTCTGTTGGCCAACGTCGCTTTAGTCTTCTGATAACTCGATGTTGAGATATTGCGGAAATTAATGGATTGAAGTGTGTGTTCACTTTTTGAATGTATTGTAATTTCTTTTGCTGGTATACTTCTTTCCCTGTTGAGATATTGAGATCCTCATAGATTCTTTGGTTAGTTACATACCAGGGTGCATCAACAATTGTTCTTAAGATTTTTAATTGGCATTTTTCCTTACTAGCAATATTAGATTTACTACTACAGCCCCACAGCTCCATGCCATATGTAAATATTGGTTTGATAACTGTTTTAAAATTAGAATTTTATTATTTATTGACAGCTTGGAGTTTTTTCCAATTAACCAATTGATTTCTTTTTGTCTTAGTTGTATTTGTTTTCTTTTTTTGGTGATGTGTTTTTTTTAACACAGGGTATTGTCCAGTTGTAGCCCTAGGTATAGTCGGTTCGCTATATTTACGCGGGTTTCGGATTAAAATTTTATTGTTTTTACCCAGTTTTAATTACCTGCTCTTTAGGGAAATATCAACTGGTCAAATGAAATGAAAAATAATCCATAACTTCTTTTAATTATATAATAATGGAAAATCTTTTATATAATTGACAGTATAATAAGGAGAATTACTTCATTAATGGAGTCTAATGTGGCTAATATAAACCTAATTATAATTTTATATTACACTTCACACAGAAAATATGGTCTATGTATATTTGTTCCATGGAAAGAATTTCTAATGAAAAATAAAAAAATTTAACTTGCTAACAAAAATGAAAATCAGTCATTATCATCAAAAATATCATAATCGTCATCATCATCACTGTCATCACTATTAATTGTTATTATGATTGGACTTATTTCGTTTATTTTATTTTCACGAGTCCACCAATTTTCTATTAGTTTCTCGCACTTGAATATACAGTTGCACCACACTTCTGGATTTACAATTGAAAGTGCCTTTCGCCAAGTTTCGCGAACTGCGTCGTCGCTATAACCGTTAGGCCCAATATGGTTGTCATAATATTGTTTTGCTATTTCCCATATATATTCGATGGGATTAAACTGGCAATGATACGGTGGCAGACGTAAAACTTGATGACCGCAACTTTCAATAATCTAATCTATAACAAAGGTTTTTGGTTTTGCGTGGATATTTGCCAAGCGTAATAATTCTGATTTTAAAATATGTTGTGTAAATGGGATATGTTCCTTTGTCAACCATTCTTTAATTTTATTAATAGTCCAAGAATTCGTTGGACTTTTGTTAATACTTCAGAATGGTAAGGTGCATTGTCTAAAATAATTACGCTGGGCTCACTTAAACCTGGGAGAAGTTTTTCATGTAACCATTTTACAAACATTTCTGTGTTCATATTATCGTGATAGTCACTTGATTTTGATTTAGATGAAAATAATAAATCAGCACCTTGTATAAAACCCGATTTTCCTCCTGCATGTAAAATTATGTGTCGCTTCCCTTCTCCATCAGTATGTTTGATAGACTTTACGTTATGATCTTGCCATATTCTCTTGGTTTCACCCCTAGAAAATATCCATGTTTCGTAATATACAAAATTTGCCCTTTCTTTTTTTAATTTGGAATATTTTCTTAGAAAGTTATTTCTTTTATGCACAACAGAACTTTTTCACAAGGGGCTTTTCTGTTATCCTCCTTTTGAAATTTGAAACCCACATTATGTATCACTTGCCATAGACTTGTTCTGCCAATTTCGTCAAATTTTCTATCTTTTAATTTCGAGAGAATTGTATTTAAGGTCACACGGTCCTTGTTGGCTCGCATTCGATAAATGGTATCACAAATTTCAAATTTTTTTCCATCCGGAATATCTTTCGTTTTCAATGATATGCGAGTTTTTCGGTGATCATCTTTCGGCCGTTCATTATTGCGATTTTGTAATACTCCTCTTAGTTTGGTTTCACTAATTCCTAGAGCATCACATACGCGTTGTTGAACAGACATTACCGATTTTAGCGGACCGCTATTTTCTTTTTCATCCGTAAAATACTTATGTACACTAAAAATTAGACTATCTACATCTAACACACGTCTAAGCATTTTTAAATATTTCCACCAAACATACAATGTCAACACTGGTAAAGAATCAATTCAACTGCAATATTGTAACAAATTTATACCTACCCTAATGTTATTTTAATGTATTTTAAAATATGACCATTAATGCAGTTTTTACCCAATTTTCTGGGAAGTCGTTTACTGCAACTGGTTATCATTGAGTCATTAGCATAATTTTGTTAATCCGAAACCCGCGTAAATATAGCGAACCGACTATATTTGGTTGTTTTAGTCCTGGGTATTTCCTCATTGTTGATATATATTGGTTGTTTTGTGACTTCTTCTTTAATATCTTCTGGTACATGTGAATAGTGAAAGTATTTAATTACGCCTCTATAGGCCCTTTCTTCCTTTGGTTGATATGTGTGATAAATAATGTTGTTGTTTTCTCTCATATATCTTGATAATTTTCTGTATATTTCTGGATCGCTACAAATTATTTTGACTGTATTATTTGCCATAGTCCTGGTTTCGTATTGTTCAGCTTCAGCTATTTCTGTAAATTTTTTCCTCATTTCTGGGAAGTAGCTTACATCGTAAACAAATATTGGTGGTAGTTTATTTTTTTTAGTTTAGTTTTCTTGGTGCTGTTTCATTTTGATTGGTTTCATTTTCTTGGGTATCCGTTAGGGTATTATATTTGTTCGATAATGTAATGGTATCATCTTCTTTGTCTGTTTTTACATTTGATCTGATTTTTCTGCGTTTTGTAGTTTTAACTACTTGCCATGAGTTTTTTCTTGACACATTTGCACTTTCTGGTTCGTCATCGCTTGTTGATGACATTCTGTAGTATTGCTGGCTATTTCTGTTATTTATATTGCTGTTGTGTGGCGCGTTTTGTTGATTTATATATTGTTCTTGATTAGGCGGAAATATCATATTCGTCGAAGAATTGGTGGTTGGTTGATTTATATGCATATTGTACATACCTGGTATTTGTGATGAGATTTGTGAATAATCCCGTATATTGTTGATTCGTGACTGACACTGTGTGTTGTTTGGAATCTGCATTTGTGGGTAACAATTCATTTGGTTTAATGGATACTGGATTTGTAATGGCTGGCTGTTTACATTTTGCATTTGTTGGCTAACTATGTAGTTGTCGCATCCTGGTCCATTCCCCGTTAGAAACATTATAAATAAATTACTGAGTTGTTTTTAAATTTAATTTGATGAGTTTATTCTTTTTAAGTCTATTACTAATTGACTGCTTTTTAATTACTTACCATTTATCTGTTCAATGCGAGAAAACCGGTCGAATGTTGATAACGGAGAACCATTTAACATCCGCTCGGTTTGGAGTATCGATGTGAACTTGGTATATAATGGTTCGAAAAATGTATCTCTAAAAAAATATAATCGTTGTTAACCTTTACTATCTCTTCGACTTCTTCCTTAGTTGGTATTTCATTTAAAATATTAAAATATCTTTTTATTTTTAGGAGAAAATGAAAGTGACTTTAGTTTTTATTTTGGCTAGTTTGATGTCCCTTTCATCGGCGGTAGTAAGGTATGATAATTATACTTTGTATAAATTATCCCCAAAAACTGTCTATGAACTTGAAATTCTACAAATCTTACAAAAGTCTAGCGAATATAAATTGGATTTCTGGAAAGATACACATATACTAGGAATACCAATTAAAGTATTGGTTTCCCCACTAGACAAGTATAACTTTGAAGAGGTCATTGTTAAAAATAATATACAGTTTAAAGTCCTTATTAGTAATATTCAAGAACGAATAGATGAAGAATCTAGAGTAAACAAGCTTCAAAGTGTTAAGAAAGGTGATTTCACATGGGACAGATACTATGATTTGGAATATGTAAGTAAACAATATTTTACTAATCTCTCACTTTGTCAACCATTTTCCATCCACTTCTGAATTTAGGTCTCACCCAATTGCTTCCATCTTTCTCTATCTTGCGCCAATCAAATTCACTGGTTGCCTGCCTCTTATGTCATCTACCCATCTTTTTTGAGGTCTTCCCATGCTTCTCGTTGTCGTCCTTGGTGTCCATTCTAGAATTTTCCATGTCTACCTGCTGTCATTATATCGGGCTACGTGACCCGGCCAGCACCATTTCATTTTTGTAATTTCTTCCACAATATCCCTAATCTTCGTTCTAAATCTTATCTCGGTGTTCTAATCTTGTCTCTCAGTGATATTCCAAGAATAATTCGTTCCATTGTTCTTTGCGTTGTTTCTAATTTTTTAGCAGATTTTTTGGTAAGGGGTACTGTCTCCAAGCTGTAGGTACAAACTGGTAGTATGCATGTTTTATACACCTTTTTCTTTAAGTTTACAGGAATGGAGGTGTTTTTTTAAGATATATGCTAGTTTGCCGAAAGCGCTCCCCCTGCCAGTTGTGTTCTTCTTTTAATTTCAGCATCTTAATTTAGTTTTCCTAGTTTGATGACATGACCTAGATATACATAACATTTTCTTTGGTATGATTTTGTATTGTTATATTTGTCTGGTCTAGGCTAAGTATTTTTGTTTTACTTTAGTTCATTTTTAAGCCGATCGCTCCTGAAACTACAATTGTTGTAACGTATCATTTAGTTCTTGGATATAGTCTTCTATTAAAACTATGTCATTTGCGAATCTCAAGTGGTTTAAGTATGATCCGTCGAAGTTGATATCCTTGTTGTTCCATTTGAGTTCTTTAAAAATTTTTTCTAGAGCAAGGGTAAAGAGTTTGGGAGGGATGGTGTCTCATTGTCTTACCCCACATTGCAGTCTTATGGGATTCGTTTTTGTGCTTTCGTCCAGCTTTATCTGCATGGTGGCATTTTCATATATGTTTTTAATTGTGTTAGTGTATCTAGAATCTTTACGTGCTTTTTCTGGAGATTTAAACACTACCCATAATGCGACTTAATCGAATGCTTTATAGAAATTGACGAACGCCATATGAATTGGAACATTATACTCGGTGCATTTTTCTATTAGTGTTCTTACGGTGTGCAGGTGGTCAATGGTACTAAAATGTTTTCTGAATCCAGCCTGCTCGATAGGTTGATAGAAATCGAGCTTATGTATTAGGCGGTTGGTTATGATTTTAGTTAATTATTAGGTACTTTATAATTATAAAAAATTTTCCTGATGATGCTGTAGAAAGCGAAAGTACTTGGGCAAGATTTGATTATTAAAATTGTACCTTAATTTGCCTTAATTTTTCAAAGTTCATTTATTCAAGCATTTAACCACAATTTAATATCAATTAAAAACATTTTTGTCTGTTTTTCGTTCTGTTTTTTGTATTACTACTGGCAAAACTGAAGTAAACATACTGTCACACAAGACGCAATATTGTATGTCTTAGACTTATTTAACATAATCTACATATCAGTATTATTCTTCTTGTTTGTTAAATGCGTTACCCATTGTCCGCAGCGGACCTAAATAATACCGTGGTTCCAAGCATTCAAAGTTTAAAGTATCACCAATATGCAATTACCCACAATATTTTAATTTACTAGTATCTAACATAAATTAATACGTTCTCAACAGATAAACAGCTGGTTGAAAAAATTAGCGAATGACTATCCAGACACAGTGAACTTAATTAAAGGAGGAACATCTTTCGAAAAAAGGGATATTTTGGGTGTGAAAGTCAGTTTTGGAAAACAAAAAGGACGACGAAGTGTGTGGCTTGATTCGCAAATGCACGCAAGAGAATGGTAAGCTGATCCAAAATTATTTTTATTAATTTTGAAAATTGCAGAAATGCCTGTTTTAGTAAAACATTTTAACTTACTATATTTCTTCGCACGTTGTATGTCATATGAATTACCGTATCCTGCTCGTAATCTATTAGTCTGTACCCTGTGAATTAAATAGGCTTAAGAGGGTCTCATTTCTTTGGTTTCGAAACTGACTTACAGTTTTCTCTTGTATTTGATCTTCATGCTTTAATTACTGATTGTAATTTTAATTAGTTTAATTAATTTGCTTGTTATTTTTAAATATTTTAGTAAATTCCGTAGCTTTTTTCGATTTACATCTTCTTCTTAGAGTGCCATATCCCTACGGAACGTCGGCGACTACCATGCTTATAATATTATTATACTGATCTCGGTCTTGGGCTACGTGTAGCAATTGGTCCGCTGTCAAACCTGTCCACTGCCGCAAATTCCTCAACCAAGAGAGTTTCTTCCGTCCTATCCATTTCTTTCCTCCGATTTTACCGTTGAGAATTAGCCGAAGGAACTCATATCTTGGTCCTCTGATTATATGTCCAAGATATTCTAGTTTACGCCTCTTAATAATATTTAATAGAGTTCGTTGATGTCCAATTCTTCGAAGAACTTCTTCGTTTCTGGTTCTACTAGTCCATGGAATCGATTTCCATAATCATATATTTATTTGAAATTTATGAAGATAGTGTACATAGGAAAATTATAGTCATAGCACAGTCTCTCGATTTGTCTAGATGTAAAAATATGATCTGTGACTGATCTGCTATTTCGGAAATCACTTTTATATTCTCCTATTATTTGTTGTGTGCACGATTTCAATTTTGCTTGAATACTCTTGAATACAGGGATATTTCCCTAGAGTTTGAGCAGTCTGGACTATATCCTTTTTTGGATACCCATATTAAAAATGCCGATATTAAGCTCATCCAATTCTGCTGATAATTTTTTTCCTCTTCTGCTTCCTATTGTTTAAATGTTTTTTTATTTCCTCCTTCGATTATGGATAATTGATTATTTCATCGTTTAAATTTTCTTCGGTACGATACCCATATGTAGATAATATATTGTCTATATTTAGTACTTCCTCACAATATCCCTTCTATCTATTTACAATTATTTCTTCATCTGCTATTAGTTTTCCTTTTTTGCTATGTAAAAAAGGTCTTTTCATATTGCATTGTTGTTATTTCGCACTTCTTAAAAAAATTGTTTTCTTTTTCAATAAATCGAGTCTCTATTTTCTCTGTTTGCCTTAATAAACTTTCGTTTACTTGATCTGCAGATGATTTTTGCAGTTTTTCTTTCCATTTATGAGTCGTATCGTCTTCTTTTCGTGTCGGTAGCATTTTTTCTTTTGAGTTATTTTTCTTATTGATAGTTTCCTTGCATTTGGTACCTATCGAACCACTCGGTTTACATATTTTTGTTTTTGTTGAAATTTTTTTTACCGTCCTTCAAACTTCCTTAGGTTACATGCAGGTTATACTTTGCAATTTCGTCTGCAAATGTTTGCCTGAATTTTTCTTCTTTTAGCTGTTGTATATTTAAAGTTGCTTCTAGAGTTACGTTGCTTTTCTTGCATATTTGTTTTACTACACTTTGAATATGTTTTATAATTTTGAACAATTATTAAAAACATATGGTTGAAATAGATCAATGTTCCTGTACTTCTTTTTAATTATACAGGGGGTTAAATTTGATACGTTCTTCAGGTACCTAATATTGGTTATAACTTTTTAAATACCCGGTATAACATAATAAAACTTTACATTGTTTTGATGTGGAAATGAAGCAAATTTTCAAATTTAAAATAATATACCGGCCGTTCCGTTTAAAAAAAAACATAAGTTTGGTCTACTTTTCTTTGTCTATTTTCTTTTTGTCCTTAAGAACTTAAAAACCTCGGTCCCAAATTAAAAAAAACAGATTATTTACTTTGTACAATATTGATATAGCACATATAAATATTACTTAATTTAAAGGATTTCTGGTGCCACTACAACATTTATCCTAAATGAAATATTGAACAGTAAAGAACCTGCCGTTAGAGCAATTGCTGAGAGTCATGATTGGTACATATTTCCTGTCATAAATCCAGATGGCTATGAGTATTCTCATACTACAGTAAGTAACAAATAATAATTAAAAACGTAGAAACATTTTATAATCTTTTTTGAGAGTAATTTAATAAGTATTTTGACATTAAACTAAAAAGTCGCACGCCGTTAATCTTTCAAATGTAATCCCAGTAAGACAAGTTACCTTTTAAAAGTTTTAAATTGCAAATATAGTTAAAGAATATTTCTGAATTTTTGTCTGCCTTACCGATAATATTTTAAAGAAAATTTTATTTAATCTCCTTATATAAAACTTGCAAATTTCTTTTGTTCAAAATAAGATGTTTCAATAAAAAAAAATAAGATGAAATATTGTTTGTGTGATGTTGGTCTATCTTCTTACAATTCACATTTCTTGTATGAATAGTTTGTCACCCAACATTGGAAGGAAGAGGAATAGGAATAAATAGAAATTTTATTTGAAATGCAAGGCATTTCATTTATAATTTTAGTAGTTATTTAAATATTCAAGTTGCTTAAAGCTCACCTGTAACAACTCCTATTGCACCATCGACACATGATATGAAAAACATTGTAACTTACTTTTGCTTAGTCAGTTTTTCACCAGGTAATTTAAAATTTGCACTTACAATGAGGTAATTTGGTTATAAGATAGGATAAAAGTTAGTAGACCAAAATAAATGTTATCCTTTATAGATGTCATTTGGACCAAAGTTAAAAAAACGTTGTAAGTAGAGTTACTATGTTATTCATATTAGGTGTCGACATAATAACGTACTTAACACTTCGCCTCTTATTTTAACGGGCTGGTCAAGGCTATGTTCAAATTATTCAAGAATCCCTATGTATCGTGTTCTGGGTACACAGGTTTGAACTTACGAAGAGTAACAAATAGAGGCAGTGCTTAACTCTCGCCCTTTGTGCGTAGCAAGAGCGATCCAAATGTCATATCAAATAAGTCCTACACCGTTTCTTACTCTTGTTCTAATAATCTAATAAAAATAAACTACAACCTCCTCTTCTCCGAAAACTGGCCAATCACTTAGTTTCGTTGCGGCACTGGCGGCATTGTATGTGTTGTTAGTGTAAAGACACCTTCAGATGGCATTGTACAATGTACATTGATCACAATATGCCCACTTTCCATTTAGTATAATTATTATATTTATGTTTTATGGGTTATTCTTTGCACTTACAATTTTACGTGTTTTTAAAGACATTGGTTTTTAGAGGAGAATGATTGGTGTTATTAATTTTTTTTTATTCTTAATATTTTTAAAATATTGACCTGATTTAGTTAAATATTTTAATTATCCATTAACTTCTTAAAGAGATATATATATGCAGTTCTGTACATAAAGCTTGAGATAACAGTTTTAACAATTAGGAATAACCTAATTTATTACGGTGCACTTGCTGTACAAAATATTTTGAAATAACCATCCTGTACGATCTCTATGTAAGTTTGAATTCGTACCTACAAAAGACAGACCTAAGTAAAATGTGGAGGTAAGCGCATCTACTGTTTAGCATTAAAGATTTTAGCCCTACTCGGCTGCCATCGTTCATTCGTTTCCATAGTACATCGCTATGCTTTCCTACCTTTCCGACTACAATACCTCAAAAATGATAGGTGCGTTTCTTTTGAACCGGTAATAATTTACGAGTTATGCCAATTGTTATTATTTTTTACAATCATAACAAATTTATTTTTTTTTTTACTTTACATATATTTTCATCATCTAACTTTTTTATTTGAGGATCGTTTATGGAGAAAAACCCGTAGTGATTATGGTCAAAGCTGTAAAGAAACCAAAGAAAGAAGCAAAGAAGAAGCAAATTACGATCCGTGCCCTGGACCAGCTGCTTTCTCTGTGGTTGAAACTAACAGTTTATCTGAACATATGAGCAAAGTAGCTGATTCTCCTGTCATAAATCCAGATGAATATGAGTATTCCCACACTACTGTAAGTAACAAACCTTTATAGCTTTTTTAATATTAATTTAATGAATATTTTAAGCTAACAAGTGCACACCGTAGATCTTTTAAATGTAATCCAAATAAGACCAGTTACTATTTAAACGTTTTAAATTAAGCAAAACCTAAGTGCTAGAAATCGACCCACTTTGACTGGAACTATATTTTTTTCAGAAGCTTTTACTCAGAAATGAAATAAATTTTGTGTATACATTTATAAATATTTATTTCAGCTTCTTATGTTTAACATTGTAAAATTAATGCATCAAACAAATGAACTTTTTTTATTGCTAATACAAAAAGGGAATTTGACAACTAAAAATTTAACAATTAATGTTTTAATAATGAGTATAACCTCTTCTGGCATTTTTAACTTCTCGCATATAACTAGACATAGATCTAATCAAGTTCACTATTGTTTTTTGTGAGATGTTAAGCCACTCTTCTTCTATTGCGACAAAAAGCTCTGGGATCGAGCTTGGGGTATGAAGTCTAGCTCAAATTTTTTGTTTTAGCTCATCCCATAAATATTCTATACGACTGAGGTCTGGACTGCATGTTGGCCATTCCGTAATCGGAAAACCCACATCAGTAATGTAATCTTGCACGATTCTTGAGTTATGCAGCCTTGAATTGTCCCACATAAAAATAAATTTGGCTTCAATGTATTAACCGTAAGATACCACATGCATTGCTAAAATCTCCTCGATGTATCTAGCACCCGTTAAGTCTCCTTGCTCGTGAAGATGATAAACCCTACAAATGCAAATAACTTTGATACACCACCATGAAGGCATATTCTAGTCTTATCTGAGAACAGAACAGATCTCCATTGTTCCAATGTCTACTTCAGATGATCCCGTGCAAAACGCAGGCATGCTTGACAATGAGCTGTATATATCACACGCATATTTTTGTCCAATCACAGGTACTCAAGGGATCAGATTATTTCCTGTTTGTGTGATGTTGTTCTATCTTCTTCCAATTTACATTTCTTTTAAGGATAGTTTATTCTTCTTCTTCTTTTGGTGCCTATCCTTTGTGAATGTTGGCAATCACGTTGGTCCATATAACTTTGTTGACAGCTGCTCTAAATAGTTGTGTGATAGTTATTCCTAACCACTGTCTGATGTTAAATGAAATCGTAGGCTTCCACGGCCAGAGTCAGAATTATAGTTTATTCGTCTTCCGGGTTTGGACCATGTCATTTGTGAGTGACCCAAAAGTGGGTTCATCTCGACGTTTCACTACAATTGCATGTAGCTTCTTCAGGAGAACAAAGAAAAAGAAAAAGAAGACAGGAAGATGGGTAATTAGCAACGCTAACTCAGTTACTTAACGCAACCAGAGGCCAATACTAACTACCAAGATAGGCATTTGGTCACAGTAACTCAACTACTCAACGCAGCCAGAGGTGGTGAAAACCAAATGCCAGGACAGGGATTCACGTCCAACAGCTCAGAACACTAACGCGTCGAGAGGCGGGGAGGATTCACGCGTTAGTGTTCTGAGCTGTTGGACGTGAATCCCTGTCCTGGCATTTGGTTTTCACCTCTGGCTGCGTTGAGTAGTTGAGTTACTGTGACCAAATGCCCATCTTGGTAGTTAGTATTCGCCTCTGGTTGCGTTGAGTAACTGAGTTACCGTTGCTAACTACCCATCTTCCTGTCTTTTGTTTTCTTTTTCTTTGTTCTCCTGAAGAAGCTACATACAATTGTAGCGAAACGTCGAGATGAACCCACTTTTGGGTCACTCACAAATGACACGGTCCAAACCCGGAAGACGAATAAACTATAAATGAGTTTCATAATTTATTAAAAATCAAGCAACACTCTAATGTTATTCGTTGTGACATTTTTCCTTTTTCGGGTGTTTGTATTAAAGAAAAGTTTCCCTTTTATCGGCAACTATTCGAATTCTATACGTGGTTTTTTAATATTGTTTTTTTTTTAATCTCAATGCAGGAAATAAGGTAAAATCAAGTAAAAATAAGACTTAACAATTAAATGAAAGCAGTCCAAAAAACATGTTAAAATAAAATCTAAATATTGGCTAACCTTTGCCAGGCCGATCTTCTAAATAATAAGTACTGTAATATTTATAAAATCGTATGTGTTTATTTATTTATGCCTATTATTAAATGAGTCACTAAATATAATAATACACTATTTCTATAAATATAAAAGACTATTTGCTTATATCTAAATTCCATTTACCGCCTCTGAAACACGATATGTAATTAAAATACAATGAATCCAAAGCAAAATGTGTCGATATAAGGAACAACAGGGATTCACGTCCAACAGCTCAGAACACTAACGCGTGAATCCTCCCCGCTTCTCAACGCGTTAGTGTTCTGAGCTGTTGGACGTGAATCCCTGTCCTGGCATTTGGTTTTCACCTCTGGCTGCGTTGAGTAGTTGAGTTACTGTGACCAAATGCCTATCTTGGTAGTTAGTATTCGCCTCTGGTTGCGTTGAGTAACTGAGTTACTGTTGCTAATTACCCATCTTCCTGTCTTCTTTTTCTTTTTCTTTTTCTTTGTTCTCCTGAAGAAGCTACATACAATTGTAGCGAAACGTCGAGATGAACCCACTTTTGGGTCACTCACAAATGACACGGTCCAAACCCGGAAGACGAATAAACTATAATACTGTCTGATGTTCTTCAACCACGATGTCCTTCTGCGCCCTTAATATCTTTTGCCTTCGATCTTGCCTTGCCTTCTATCTTGCATTGTCGATAGTTTATTACCCAACATTCAAAGAAGGCGATGAATCACTTTAAACATTAATTGAAATGCAAGGACACAATATTTCATTATTAATTTTAGTAGTCATTTACATAGTCAATGTATGTCAACGCTAATTGCGTGCATAATAATGTTCGGAACACTCTTTCATTATTTAACTTTGTTATTCTAGGATCGTTTATGGAGGAAAACCAGTATTGATTATAATCAAAGCTGTAAAGGAACCGATCCCAATCGTAACTGGGGATATAAATGGAATGAAGAAAGAGTAAATAATGATCCGTGTAGTACCCTCTATCCTGGACCAGCTGCTTTCTCTGAAATTGAAACTAGAAGTTTATCCGAGTATATGAGCAAAGTAGCTGATGAAATACTAGTTTTTATAACATTCCATTCGCATGGTCAACTTATTCTATTACCTTATGGTCATACTCCTCAACATCTTGACAACTACGATGAAGCTGTAAGTACACTGAATATATCCACTCATGTTCACATTTTGAACATGAAAATTATGTAAATTAAAAAACGAATACAATGCTCACTTTTGATAATGTTTATTTTCGAATACTGTGTTTGGAAGAATAATGCTTCTATAATTAAAATTATTATGATTATCTCCTTTTTTAGACATTAATTTGCCTCGACTATCAATATTAAAATAATTATTTTAACCATTAATTGGCTGTTAAGTTTTGAATAGCTTTGTCTTTTTATAAAAATATTAAAAAGAAATTAAAATAACATACGTAAGTTCCTTTTATTTTTATTTTAGTATAGCGTAGCTGCTAAAGCAGCTGAATCATTAGCTGTGAGATACGGAACTCAATACAATATTGGAAATATAGCAGAAACCTCACTTGGTAAGTTTATTGATATATACTGGTACATTCAGTCAAAAAACTTTGATACAACTTTTTTTTTAAAACATGATATGAAAATAATTACAATTATAACGTTGTTGTACAAGGTGCTCACCTTGTACAATGTGGATCAACTCAGTTGGTTGTTGCCACTCAGTCGATCAAGTCCTTGTTCAAAGCGGGAATTTGTGCGTTTGATTAAAAACTGTGTAACCTCGGAAACGTTTTTTGGATGGTGCTAGAAAGGTCAACAATGAAGACACTGCGGACGGCAGCCAGATGGTTGGCGGGGAGCGAATCGTGGGTTCGAAACTAGCTTTTGGGAACCGGGAATGGGTCCAACGGACGAAATAAGTAAAGATAGAACAAGATAAGATATATTAGAAAAGATACAGAAATAAACAAAAAGATAGATGGGTAAAATTACCAAAGATACGATAAGATAGAAACCGGACGCCACTCAATTTTTTGGGGTTTAAGGAGAAATTTAAGAAACTTTAGAAAAGAAAATAGGTAAGGAAAGATATTTAGGTTCAGAGATCAAACCCAAGAAAATATATTAACAGTTAATTATTAAATAAATTTGGTTAACATACTATATAAAGAAATAATAAATATATTAGGTGGACTGCGTCCATCTACTTACCTACGAAACTTAATCAGACTGATCTTTCTACTGGTCAAAGGTATAGTAATAATTAAAGGTAAAAAGCAAATATTCAGAGTTATGGTTATATCAGGAAACTTGGTAGGAGTCGGCAAATAAAATGCGTACATAAAACAACCACAATATATTCAACAACAAAATAATATCTGTAGCTGAATGTATACACAAGATAAAAATACACCATCAACTATGAAATGGTGGTATACATATGAAAATAAACAGTATTATACTTAGAAAATACCTTTGCAGATATATATATATATAATACACTCATGCATAAATAAAGTTTTATGGGCGTATCTCGAGATATTACAGTAAAAAAATCAATAACATTCATAACAAATAACAAAAATTAATCAAATCTAAATCTACAAAAATACAAAAGAGGTTACAGAAACAAAAATTTGACCAACCCGCATTGGTCGTAGTTAATGATCTATCTCACACTATTATATAATGATTGAATGTGCGTAATTATTATTTATTGACATTTCTTAGTAGCTGATAGAAAGTTCGTAAGAAAATATAGAATGTTCTTTAAATTGAATTAAAAATTCAGTAGTTACTCTTAAATACAGGTGAAGCCATGGATGCAACTTTGATTTGCCCAGATGATTGCAGATAATATGATACCATACGACATTATTCGCCCAGATAAGTGGAGATACTAAGATTACTTACAGTAAATCTTGATGAGTGCTGCACTAATTTACTGACGCTAGTACTATACTTGTATTAAGCACTGAAAATAAAAAAATTAAAGGTACTTTATACCTATATTTAATCTAATATAGTGCAAGATAAAAAAAACTCAGATATACAAGTGTATACACACTTATAAAGAAAATGCACAGAGAACGGTACGATAACAGAGACAATAATGTGAGCGAGGCTTAAAGTAAAGTAAAGTAAAGTACCAAAGAAAGGTGGGATATCTCCCACTCAAAAATGATAGGACAGTTGTATGTATTTTTGAGTAGGTAATATTCTAACGAGCATCTAAACTTACGGTACTCTTCTAGCTAGGAATGTGATAAAAGGTAAACCTTGTGGATTAGGTTTTTCCGAAACATTACTATACATGCCTCCGAAGATTTTGTTTGCCAAAGTATCAAACGCAAACCCGCCTTAAAGCCGGAAAGATGTAGTTCCATTCATACTCAGGATTACAAATAAGAGGATTAAAAACCTTCCGTACTCATCGAAATTCCGTCCAGTCACGGGGGTAAATCATTGCGAAGGTAAAAGGAATAAAAATAATTATTATTTTAATTATATAAAAAAATGGTACAACTTTGATCCGTTAGCATCGACCGTTATTATCGATTATCTTGATAATTACAATGTTCATTACTTTAATTGTGTAATTTAAGGGTCATCTAACAAGATTTGTTATCACTTTGGTTATTAGTAGATAGTGATAACATATAAATTGAATGAAATTATAACACTAGCAGAGAACAACAAGGTTTTATGTCGGGAATATCATGCATCTATCTATCTATCTATCTATATTTATATTATGGATAGTGGTGGCTTATATTTATAATAAGGCAAGTGCAAGAGAAATCATTAGAATACAACAAACCGGCATATCTGTTTCGTGGACCTCACAAAGGCATTTGACCGGGTCAAATTTAAAGAGGTTATCCGCTTACTTTATGCAAGAGAGATACCTCTAGGAATAATCAAAACGATCGAAAATATCTACCAAAGCAACACAATAAAAGTAAAAGTAGAAGAAGAACTAACCGACCCTATTGAAGCTGGCAATTTAATTAGATAGGGAGATTCCAGAGTCCTCTATTATTCAACCTGATTATGGATGAAATAATAAAAAAAGTAAGAACAAAAAAAAAGACACCATATGGGAGAAAAACAACTTTAAATAATCTGCTAACCAGACGACGCAATACTACTCTCTCAAAGTGAAGATGATTTACAACGTATGCTGCACCAATTTAATATAACCGCCAGAAAATTTAACATGGTAATTTCCCCAACAAAGACAAAATGCATGGTTATAACAGCCAATTTACTAAGATGTACATTAGAGCTGGACGGTCAGATGATAGAGCAAGTGATGAAGTTTAAATATCTAGGCATAACATTATCTAGCTACGGAAAGCTCGAAACCGAAGTGGAAGATCAAGTGAATAGAGCAAACAGCGTCGCAGGCTGCCTAAATGAAACAATATGGATAAATAAAAATATCGGGAAAGAAACTAAAGCCAGAATTTACAAAACAGTCATCAGCTCAATAATGACATATACGGCAGAAACAAGACCGGACACAGAGAGGACAAAAATATTGTTAGAAACAGCAGAGATGAAAACACTTAGAAACATTGATGGTAAGACACTATGGGACAGAGCTAGAAGTACAGATATACAACATAGAAGCAAGGTGAAGAACATCAAAAACTGGGTAAGAAATATAATAGTAGAATGGAACTATCATATATGCCGAATGACAGCAAATAGAGTAGTGAAGACGGCAAGAGACGGTTCCAAAATAGGAAGACGATCAGTAGGAAGACCACGAAAATGATGGAGTGACAACTTACTGGAGGCACATCGAAAAACTGACAGTCATGTCTATATAAAAAGAAGAAGAAGAAGAAGACGAAGATCTGACCACATTATACGGCTAGTTCAATTAGTTGATAGAGGTTTTTCACTGATGATGATCTGATAGGGTTGAAAATATTTTGAAAATTTATAAATCCATTTTGGATAATTTTTAATTTTTTTTTAATATTTATACCATTTTACGTAAGAAGTTTTTACTGCATAGTACGTTTTTTTAAACTATGGTATATAGCCAATCACTGGGAATTTCCCGTTGTTTCGGGAAAAATTTTTCCCAAATTTTAAAATACCCAGTTTGAGAGATTGTTTCTAGCCGCTATTACAAAATTGACCATGAAACCCTAAAGCCAGATATTCAAGTGCTGGCGTAAATAACTCTTCGGAATATATATTAAAGTGTAATGGTGAAAGTACACAGCCCTGTTTCACTCATCTACTTATCTGTTGGGCATCCGTGCTATTTCCTTGTATTGTTACCACAGCCTGTTGGTTTCAATATTTAGAGATTTTTCACTATGCTAATGTCATTTTTGTCGAGTAATTTTCTCTTTAGACATTCCATGACAATGTTATGTCTAACTTTGTTGAAAGATTTCTTGTAGTCTATAAACGTAACGAAAAGATCTTTTTGTTGGTATCGACATTTTTGGGCAAGAAATGTGAAACGATATAGAGCTTCCACTATTTCCAAGCCGTTACGAAACCCAAACTGTCTATTACTCATATCCACTTCGCACTTTCTAAATATTCCTGCATATTTAATCTTGAAAAATCTTTTAAGTGTGACAGTAAGCTAATTAATCTATAGTCATTACAGTGTTTGGGGATCTTGGTTTTTGGTAGCCGAACAAAGGTCAATAGTAGCCATTCTGTAGATATCTCCGCAGATTTGTATATGTTGTTAAAGATAATGGTTACTGCACTTTAATTATCTTCATCTATAAGTTTACTCACCTCGATATGAACTTCATCTGGCCCAGGGGCTTTGCCAGATTTTGAGTTATTTATAGCATGTTCGATTTCAGATTTTAATATTATTGGAGCTTCCTCTTTACCAATTTTTGTTGGTTCCGTTCTTGTATCCATGAAAAGATCTTCAATATATGTAGTCCATACATGGACTATTTTAATTGTTTTATTTTAATTGGGTAATTAATAGGTTTATTGTTTTTATCAATTAATCGGTTAGATGTATTTGTTTGTGATTTTCCAGATAATTGTTTCACTTTTTTATGTAAATTATATTAATCATGCTTGTTCTGAAATTCTTCCACTTCGATGCATATTTTCATCATCCACTTTTTCTTAGCCTCTTTTATTTTGTTCCTTATTAATTTATGTTTTTCTCGTGTCTATATTTTCTTCTCTGTTTTAAGTCACACTTTCCGTTTTCTTTTGTAGAGTTTCTTTCTGCGTTTTTATAACATAATCTTTGATTTTGCTATACATAATGTTCACATTCTCAGTGTTTTTCATTTCTGATGTTAATTTCTATATTTCTTGATCGATACGAGTTGTAATCTCAGCACGGATTTCATTTATCGTAAGTAACTGAGTATTCACCTTAGAACTTTTGGATTTTATTATATTGTTTAACATTCAGTTTTATTTATGAGACAAGGAGGTTATGGTCTGAAGGGACATCTGCACTAGGAAAAGTCTTAACGCTTACAATGAAATTTCTAAATCTTAGATTGTTTAGAATATATGGGTAATTAGAGGTACTAACTGAAGATTAACCAATAAGGAAATTTTAAAAAGATCACGTACATAGCATATCTTGTTAAGGCTTTGCCTGGAAACATTGATACTGGCCGGTCGAAGGTTATTCTCGATAATGACGTTTTTTATTTAATCACATCAAAAATATTTTTAAATAATTCTATTCTGTATAGTGACCTACTGTTAAATAAATTACAGATATTTTAATTGATTGCTACTAAATAATTTGTCGTGCGTCTTATCTTTTACTTACTGTTTATT